TTTTTTTTTTTTTTTGAGTCAAAACACTCCTCAGAGTATGCAAGGAAAATCATTCACTCCTTTACCCAAGTAACATTTGATTCAAATGTTACAAGCTTAGCACATTTCCTAAGCCAAGCCTTAGACATTCTGGAGTCAATGGACCTCAAGTTGGGAACTTCAAACCGTAATATCTGCATTTCTACTTGTTCTAGATTATTTCATTTTCTTAGACATTTATTTTTTAGTTGGACACAATATCATCTTTATTTTATTTATTTATTTTTATGTGGTGCTGAGGATCAAACCCAGGGCCTCTCATGTGCTAGGCAAGCACTCTACCACTGAGACACAACCCCAGCCCATAGATTATTTCATTTTTTAATCAACAGATTTTCAGTTCTCTTAGCATAAGGACCACATTGTGTACATTTTTGTAGCATATTTATTTCAATGCATAGGTTGAACATTTAACTACCGACTAGTTGAAACTGCCCTAAGAGTCCTAAAGTCAAATGGACAAGCCAGATATTATTACCAAAAATCATGAACTAGAGTCTCTCGACTCCAGGATCTTACAGGGTACAGCACTGGATACCACTTACGTGATTAGTTCTTTTTTGAGATCTCTTGCATGGAGCTTGGGTTTAGGACTTGGTATAGAGACCTCTCCAGGAAATTTTTTTTCCTCTAAATTTTCCAGAGAGTTCACTGGGTCTTTCTGGAGGAAAAAAAAAAGACCGAAGCCATTAGGGAACCCTGAAATGACAACTCAATTTGAAGTGATTGGAGTCGGGTTTAAGTTTTGACTGAAAAGATTTAGCTGAAATACTACAAAGAATTTGCATAAGAAATAAATAAGATAATGAATAAAAGGATATGTTTGATTGTCAGGGACCTTTACCCTAAGCGAAGAGAAATTATAACTGTTGGGGAATACCTTTGGAAAGTTCTTAGCAAATACGATTATAGAGACATTTCTTGTAATTGAGTGAATATGTTAGTATGTTTCAATTTTTTTTTTCTGTACAATAAGTAGTTCTAGAGAACACAGGCATAATTCTTTACAGCAGTCACAACAGCAGTAAGATGAAAGGAATATTGCAAAAATGAATCACAGAGTTTTAACATATGAGTCTAGGTTAACAGAATGCTCATTCCAATACACAAATAATTAACATCTAAATTATGTGTTTAAATCTGTAATAGCTGAGGCCATGGTATTTAGTCTTTTAATTTCATTTTTCTAGATAACTGCTTTTATTTTCACAACACTTTCTTGTTTTTCTTTTCTTTTTTGCTAACTTAGTATCTTGTAATGCTTTTAATCGTTACATGGATGGCATTTCTTGTTGGATATTATTGATTTTCATGGGTTTTTTTTAAAGCTTAATATTGATCTTGATCCCATAAGAGTCACTAATCTTTCCAAATCATTCATTTACCAAGTGGTATATTATCTCACAGAAAACTCGTGACAGTTTTCCTCAATCATATAATTAGCTTACTTTTATCATTAAGCTCATATCCAGTAAACATAATACTTTCTGGATTTAAAATTAAAATCATGTTAACTAATATAGAACACCATATTCCAAATCTTGAAAGTATTGATCTATTTAGGGTAAGTAAACTATTTTGGATTGTTTGAACTAAATTTCATTTAATTTAAATGGATATAAAAATGCTGCAGCATAATATAATTTTAATGATTCTGAATCTACATTCAAAAGCAATGGAAATTTTTGTCTACAACAAAAATTCCTGAATTTTTTAAACCAATGAAAAATTCTGAACACTGATATCATTATCAAGGCAAATGTAAATTCTTCATTCTTTACTTGGTAACAGTTCAATTATTTTACACATGAGTATGCTGTACTAAATACACTGGTAACTCTTTCAAGTGATATTATTATTAGATCAAATTAAAAGAACTTGGTTTGGTTTGATTTCTGTCATTTACACGCTAATTTACTGAAAAATAAAATACTAACTGATTTTGTAAAGTTTATGTCCAAATTACACATTGAAAGAAGAAACTGCGGATGAAAAGAACTAATTGGACCAATAGACTACAAATGTATGGAATGGTAACAAATGAAGTACTGTAAGTGCTCACTATCCATTGGATACCATGTACAATTATACTATTAACAGACAATATCACTGTTTTATCTTTAGCATGTTCTGTGTATTTTATTACTTTAGCTTTTTCCCCAGGTATTTAAGAAAATTTCTACTATTTTCCCCCTGAAACATTTAGTCATTGGAATAACACAGAATATTGATAAAAAGTGAAGATTTATTAGGCAGAAATAATTTTAAAATAATGAGAGGGTATTTAAAAATAAAAATAATATTTTCTAAAGATTTAAAATAGGACCAGGGTTATGGCTTAGTGGTAGAGCGCTTGCTAGCTTGCATGAGGCACTGGTTTCAATCCCCGGCACCACATGAAGAAAAAATAAAATAAAATAAAGGTATTGTCTCTGTCTACAACTAAAAAATAAATTAAAAAAAGATTTGAAATAATTTTTTATCTCACAATTAAAAAATATACTAGCTGATGGAAATATACATTCAAAAGTCAAAGGAAGTGTATGTTTCAAAATAGTTATCTATTTGGTATAAAGACAAGTGCTATTTTAAAGTCACCTCCATGGAATTCTCATCAAGACACATGATTGAAGATCATCTTTTTAAAGTTTTACAGTGTAAAAGACTAAAGTAAAGCAATTCTTAATTTTAAAGGCTAAACCTGATCAGCCTCCCCCACCCCCATCCACTCCATTTGGGACCATCTGATTCAGTTTGGGTAGTAATTTCCACTCTAATTTAGAAATGTCTTGGCTTTTTGAAAATAGAGGCAAAAGCTAAAGCTAAAGTCAATATTGTCTCAGTGTGGAAGAACCTTTGTTTTTCTGTTTAGATGCTGACGTTTTAACAAAAATGGCACTAAGTAAAAAGTATTATTTCATTATTTTCTTTATGATAGAGTTCAGAACAAAGTCTGAGGAACCTTGTATATTTACACAGGAACACATGAATGTTTCCATTGTTGTTTGATGGCTGAATTTGTACATTATGGAAGGCAAAAGAAGGGGGAGGATTTTGAAAGAAATGATCAATTACAAAATTGTGTGAATTATATTTGACTAAAAGGCATTCACACACACACACACACACACACACACACACACACACACAAACATATATATGCAAACACACATACATATATATCCCCCACACCCCTGCCCCAGTACTGGGGATTGAATCCAGGGCAGTTCCACCACTGAGCTATTTCACCAATGATTTTTGTTTTTTATTTTGGGACAGGGTATCACTAAGTTGCCCAGACTGGTCTCAAACTCACAAACTGCCTCAGTCTCCTGAGTAGTGGGATCACAGGCATATGCTACTGTGCCTGACTATCATGCATGGTATTTAATCTGATATAATAATATGTGACAATGTTTTAAAAATATATTTTTTATTGGTGATGACCTTTTAAATATTATATCACTTAAAAAAACCTCTAGGTTCTCATGTATGCAACTGATTTGTAAAATAACCATCTTTTTTCACTTTTCTTTGCTTCACATCTACCTCAAGAAACTTGCAGAGAGTATATATTCAAATACATGTGGCCATCACTAAAAGAATTCTTAGATTAGTTATGTTACAAAAACACTTTATACTGGATGGATTCCTAAAGAGCACCCCGTGTAAAATCACTGATAGCATTTATGAGATTTTTTTTAACCAAAATTTAAAGTATCACTTTGGAAATAATAATTTTATCCCATGCAAGATGTGTAAGAGAGAACATGGTATGTACATGTGTGTTTCAAGTATGTGTATGCAATGAAATTCTTTAATGTACAGATGGAAGTTTATATTGATTTCAGTAAAGACCAGAACATAATGATAACATGAATAACAGATAATAGCATCTGGCACTTTTAACATTTTAAGCCCTGAAATCTTTGGAGAACTGACAGTTGAATGAAACTGACAGCCCTAGTTATTTCTCAGTACTTTCCTTTCGAGATATTTTGAGTTTTTTCCAAATTCAGGATTTTTTTTTTAAGGGGGCATCTGGACAGGCTATTTCACTGAGAGAGACAGACAATATTTTCTGAAAATTACCACCAAAATTAAGCAACTGTTATGCATATGAACTAGATAACAATGAATTAGAAATAATCACTCGATTTCTGGTCATGTAAATGTTGTGTGTATGTTGTGTGTGGCACAGAGGAGGTGGCAAAGTGGCAAAGGGAAGGATGGACAGGAGCAGGACACACCACATTCTGGTGTTCAAACATTCTTGATGTATTGTCGGGGCCACATGCAGCAATTCCAAGAGAGCTCACTGGGAAGTGACAAGAAAGACCCAGTGCTGTAACTGGTTTCTGTGTACACATATGGAGACCTGCCTAGGTCAGAGGACTTTGGTTTTGCATCCTCAAAAATACCAGTGACAATGGGCTTCCATCACACTTTGCCACACACCATCTCTTCATTATTTGTAAACTTTAATTTCTCTCCCCCCTCCTCTCTCTGTGTGTCTCGGGGCATTACGGTTCCCCCTTTCTCTCCATTTTCCCTTCTGAACCTAATACTTAAATTCTGTATAACAAGGTCCAACAACTATAACTCCCCAAGCATCACTTTTCTCCTCTAAAAATATGTGATGCCAATCCTGCCTTGCAGGATTTTTGGGATAATGAGACACTATATAGAAACATTCTTTGTCTTTACTCTTGTTGCACATAGTATCCTTCTGATACCCTTTCCATGATGATACTGAATACAAACTACCTTTTCAAAATAATACCTATCAAGCTTCACATTTTATTTTCAAGATTCAGAACAGGATGTGATAAATACTCCGTTAGTAGATCACCCTGGCACACATAAAAGAACAAAGTACAAGGGTGAGAAATTGTACTGGGGAGTTAACAATGATTCAGGAGCACTTTGTGTGTGTCCCCATCAACTACAGCTTCTCAAGCAATGACTCACCCTGTGCAGACAGCTGGGACAATAAGGTTTCAGCCTAAAAACATATTTTGCCAACTCAAATGTACAGCAAGCACTTTGAGTCCAAAAATGAGAATCTCTGGTGTTCTCCTTGTCACTGTCAGTGGCCCTGAATTTTGACATAGGTTCTAAATTCCAGATTTCAGAATACTCAGGTTGAAAATTGCAGCAGTAAAAGATTCAGCTGTGAAATCTGAAGAGAGTCTGTCATTCTCAAAAAAAAAAAAAAAAACCCTTAAAAAACCCCTCCTTCAAATATTTGTGTATTTGCAGGGATATGAAATATTGTCACAAATCTATATGCATTAGATAAACATTCTTCAATTGAATCTTTAAAGTTATCAAGATGAATCAAAGTGTTTTTTAAAATTATGCAAAAAAACACAGTTAGAAAGTAAATATAAAATATTTGTTATGAAACTCATTTTTTGCCTTTCTGGGTAATGGGAAAGATAGCCAAGGAAATAATGAAGCGGGGGTATTCAGAATATAAGGGGTGCAATGTTGACACTAAGACTAAGGGCACACAATTATAATCAATGCCAAACAATACAAGATACTCTACACAAAAATGAGAATCTACTTGAAGAAAATTTGCTTTATTACTACTCAGGACTGGATATCTCTGTCTGACATGAGTTTGAATACTGCAGAAGCTTTCTGCTGAATACACTGACCAAGGTCCCTTGACAACATAGTCACATGGATAAGGACAGAAATCCTAGGTGCCACTTTGCACATGGCATTGAGATGCTCCCAGAGATTATAACACCCTGGGATTTTGACCCTGTACAATTCATGCAAGAACAGGGAGGCAGTTACAGTTACCTTGTATAGTATTATCCTTCATGGATAATAATGACTTCTATTCAACCCACAACCACAGATCCTGTGCTTAGTGTTAGGTATGCCTTTAAGGGAGTGTGTGCCATATGCTATGATTAACTGGCAATTGACTGGCTGGAGATTAAGCAGTCTTGTGAATTGAAGAGTATCTCCCTTTGCAAAAGCACACTTGTATGTAGTGGGATTAAATCAACAATCTTGACCTGTGAGGACTTTACCTCCAAGCAACCTGCCCACTTTCTAGCATGCTTCAGACTTCCATTTCAGACAAGTGGTGCAGCATGACCAAGTAATGTGAATGGGGATAGATTTCTAGATTTTATAAACAGATGCAAGTTCAGTGTAAGGTTTTTTTTTTGTTTTTTTTTTGCACAAGCCTGAATGGCAATGGATTATTATGGTGGACAGAAGAGATGCACCTTTTAGAATTATCACACATTATTTAAATAAAAGTATTTCCTAAAATACAGCTTGAGAAACCCTATTCTGAAAATCCAAATCCAAAATGCCAATGTGATACTTAAAAATTTTCTTTCAATTTTGCAGCATTTTGAATTTCAAAATTTTGCATTAGGGAAGTTCAACCAATAGTCTATGCAAATATTCCAAAGTCTGAAAACCTCCAAATTCTGAAACATTTCTTGTCCCAAGCAATTCAGATAAGGGGTACTCAACTTGCTGTATTGTGACAGATTGATTCCAGACTTTAGGTGAAGTTTTAAAAGCCCAGCAAAATAAAGTGAAGAAAGTCAGTAGGGCACATTTTAATTAAAAGCCACTGTGGTATGACTCCCTTCATCTTTCCACGTGATATCAGGGATGGTGGGGCTTCTTCTGGGTACCCATCTCTGACAACCCCATGCAGGGTTAGCTGTTCCGTCCTCTCCATATTGGGTGTCTGCCTGTGCTACTCTGTTTACCAGTGCTTTTGGATATGGGTCAGTCCTCCTATTGAATTCTGAGCACAGGTGTGACTGAGATGCACATGCAACATGGAAGTGGGTCTATCTGTTGCTGCAACTCACTGTTTGGACTTGTAGATGCCAGTGAAAGTGTGTGGAGAAAAAGAAGGGAAGGCGGGAGGGAGGAAGGAAGGAAAGGAAGGAGGATTTGGAAACAACCCAATCTTGTGATCACTGCTGTGTATACTGACTCACACTCTGAGATGTTAAAGCCAAAATCATATTAGATCCCCACCTCCCACAAGTCTGTGAACTCAGAAAGCTGAAAAAGAAGGTATATACTTCTGGAGAGAATGGCTATTTCAGTCCTTTAAACGTATCAAGTGACAATCCCATCAATGACTTTTCTGACAAAATGCAAAATAGGATCACTCATTGGAATCATTATGTACACACCTGCAATTATAGACAGCTTAAACAATGGGAGTTCTAACTGTCCAAACTTTTAAGTGACACTAAGTAGTTCATGGTGAATCAGGCCAAGTTAAGCAATTCAGTCTATAGAGGTAAAGGTTAAATTGGCTCTGCCAGGTAACAACTTCTGGCTTTGAGGATAAAACCACCTCAGAGATAACCAAATACACAAATAAGTCTCCTCAACTTTGGGATTGATACAATTTATATATCCAACATTTATGATCCAGTACTCCAAACAACGACTCTAAACATAGACATGCCAACACAGTTCCTTCATGAAACCAAAGAAGCAGATTTGACATGGTTCCAAAACTGTTTCTGATTGGATTTCATCTTCAACCTTCTGGTTCAAAAAGAATTAGTGAGCTGGCATTGCCCCTTTATGATGGGACAGATAATAAAATCAATCTTGCAGTGCAGAAATTGTCACCGTCATGGGGATAAGAGCTACTATAATGAATATTATTTTAGGCAAGTGAAATTTCATGTGAAATTTAAAGTCATCACTTAATCACAATCTAAAACAAGGTATAGGATTCCATACTATAAAAAAGGAATGTGAAATATCACGTAGGAGAAAAAAGCTAGTAATACTCTGTAGTCATGATCTATCTCCAGCTTATTGATTGACACATTGAAACAATACCTCTTTCTCCTCCTCTGTCTTCCCATGAGTTTTGCTATAGTTGATAGGAGTGTCCCAGCCCTCTTGGTCACAGAGAGCCTGATAGAATGCTGCATTGACCAGAATGCTGCTTGTTTTGAATGGGGAAGATGAAGGTGTTGGAATGGTAGTATTAGAGGAAGTTAGGGGTGCAGCCTTGTCCAGGATTCGATTTTTTTTCATGCTTAAGTCCAATGTCCCATTTTCATCCACTTCTATCTCGGCTCCCTGATACACAACAGGAAACAGAAAAACATTTAAGCAGTTTGCAGTTATAGCTGAGCCATGTGGGGCTTTTAAGGGATAATTTTAAATGTAAGCTTTTATGGAAGTATATTTGCTTTTAAATCAAGCTTTCTGATTTGCATTGGGTAATGTTCATTTCTTAGGCAGACTTTTAAGAACAGCTCCATTAGTGAGCTTCATGTTTCTGGGTTTAAATAAAGTAAGCTTAATATAAATAATAAGATGTTCCAAATACTAAGAATATTGGCTAAAATTGTTTTGTGTATGTACACATTTTTAAAGTTTAGCTATAAATCTTCTTTTCTACTTTATAGAATTATTATTCCAAATTCATCATTTAAAGCATTAACATTTGTGTTCATCAAAAGGCACATATAACTCCCCAACTCCCCCATCACAATATTAAAGTAACATGAGAAATATGCAAACATAACCAGCTGGAAGAGAATCTTTATTGGAATATCATATAAATATGAAAGCAATGTTTCACCCTAGGTTATTTGAACTGGAAAGCTTTGTTAAATCATGGTGGGTGAGAAGAGAGAGGCAGACAGTGCAACCAGACTTCACACTCAGGGGCCCTCAGGTAGCAGCTGATGGTGTGACTATTTGGGGTTTAATAATGATAACTTCAGGAAAAAAATGTTTATTTTGCAGATGCTTAGCGTGAGACTTAAAACTAATGTTGCTCCTTGTGATACCTTTTGCCAAGCTTTTTCAATTTTTAATTTTTTAAGAAACAGTATTGCATTCTGTATTTGGCTCAAGTCCCAATAAACTGCTCATGTGTTCTGGATCTGCTTCAAGATTCACACCACAGGGTGGCTTGTATAGAGTCAGGAATTGCAAACATTGCCATGCAGTAACTCCACAAAGCTGGAAGAATATGCTTGTCATTTTTCCAAATAGGTCAAATAACACCTTTCTGGTACATTCAACATCATCTATCAATTCACAATTAACTTCTTGACAGTTTTTTTACTCTTTCCTTTTGGTTGGTAAAGCAAAAGTCCTGAACATATTAGCAAGATCCCTAATGCCCACGGTCAACAGTTAACTTTCCGGGGGTTGCATTTTAATTTCTGCCTACTTCTACCCTCTGTCCTCTGAGCATTTGCCACTGAGTCCTGGGCAGCACTTAGTCTGACTTGTCATTTATGCCTGATTAAAAAAAAATAAAAGCACCTCTTCTATTTGCTTGTTTTATGCACAAAGTTCATATTTTCAATCTCTCATTCTACTAGCTAGATATGGTGCATTATATTTGTAGGAGGTAAATACACTTCTAATATGTTGTACTAAGATGCTTTGGCTATATCTTTCTGTCCCTTTTTAGTAAACAGTTTAATCTCCTGTGATAGTTTTAAGCCCTGAATTTGACAGTACAGCTTATCCTGGATAATAACGTAGTAACCACAACATCTTATGCCATCTGTATAATATCAAATACGTTTTTATACCAGCATTAATAAACCTTAGTTACAAAAATCCAAGATATTAACCATATCAGTGCCATGTGCTCTCTCCCTTCCATGATCTCACAATGTATTCTGCCAGAAACGCATCAAAACAATTTTTGGCTTTATAGCTGATATGTAACTATAGCAATGAAAGAGAGCTATAGTAATCAAGTTTAATGGCCAACGTAAAGTAAAATGCTAAATATTGTAGTTGCTGACATTTTTCATAAAAAAATTAAAAAAAAAACTTGGGTTAAGACTGCACAACCAACATTCACATAAAATTCCAGACCTCTGTGACAGATGGCTTAGGAAAAAGAAGCCATGTGACTGGGCTGCAGAGTTTTATAGTGCAAAACCCATAAATAGTGCAGATTCAATCTCTCTGAAAAATACAACTATTTCAAGACAACACTCATATATATTTTAGTTTTTACAGAAAAAGAATTCCAAATAGTAAAATTTTTTTTAAAATATGAGAAATTCTAGGAGTTGTTATGATTATACATCTTGAGTAATCAGGGCTTGAGTGAAAAATAGAATCCCTCCTAATGTTTAAAAGAGGTGCTTTTGTAGACCCATGCCCTAGCCGGCTGCTCTGAGCACCTGACTTGACTCAGAGAGTGAGCTGCATGTTGGGGAGCCGGGTACAGATGGGCTCTAAGTAAGCACACAGATGCATTCAACAATTACACACAGTAACAGCTAAGGGTCCCTTTCTGCCCATAGATGGGAGATCGCACATTTATAGCATGGTTTTTTATTCAGAGCAATATCAATAGGCATCACTTCTCTGGGCTTGAAACTCTAAATGGCAACACAAAAGTGGGGGGAAGGTAGGAGAGGCCAGTGGAGGGAAGAGGCTACAGTGACAGCTCATATGGTCCTGTCCCTCCCACCCCTTCTGACATTTTGATTCTTCAGTGATATTTGGGATCCTTATATTAAGAATTTAACGTATGTTTTAAGTTTTTTTGAGGCTAGGGTATACTTTCCATCCTGGGCAAATCATCAAGGTCCATCTATTTCAGCCATTTTTGAGTGATACTACCTACCTTTTATGTATTCAATGAATTATTGAGAAAGCATTTTATTGTGTTTAAGATGCTATATTTTGGAGAAAAAATAAACTTGAGAAATAGATTGTTTCTCCCTTGAAGGGGCTTGTTTTGTGCCTATAGATTTCTAGTGAGAGATAATTTGATAATTATATGTAAATATTATTATTAAATTGAAAGTTGAAAGAATTAGTGATTATAATCTTTATTTGTACCACAAAATAAGCACTGACATCACTATCCAACAACAGAAAAATGGTTAATGAAATGGTACACATTATATGGTCAGTAAAATGTTAATTATGAGGTCTGAGTAACAAGTGATATGGAAAATCTTCATGTCATTGAAAATAGGAAAGAGCATGACATTCCTGCTATGCTTACAACTAGGGAAAAGAGATAATTTGTTTTTGAAGACTAAGAGGGAAAACACATAAATTACCATACTTGTATTTAGAGAGTAGGCTTACAGCTGTTTTCCTTCATTATTTTCCAAGCAAATGATAATATTATCTTGTTTTGACAATTAAAAATTATACATTTAATAGGGGTAGGAATGAAAATAGAATGAACTGGACGTTATTATCCTATGTACATGTATGATTACATGACCTGTGTGATTCTATATCATGTACCCAGACGAATGAGAAGTTATGCTCCTCTTATGCATGGTGTGTCAAAATGCATTCTATTGTCATGTAGAACTAATTAGAATAAAAAATCATATATTTAAATATGTTGCTGATGTGAAAACTTTATCATTTTACCTAAATATTCTGATTATGAAAATTCCTAATTTTCACAACATTGATAAAATAAGACATATTGCTTTCCTTCTTTTTCAAACTCTCTATTAACCCACGAGAGATCACCTGCCATCTTTTGACTTGGCAGGAAGGAAGTGCAACCTAAGTGTCATTCCACTTAGGTTTCTGCTGCAATTCACCCCTGGCTTTCTCTCACAGCCTCTGTTCTTTCATTCTTGCTTCTGTTCTTTTTATCTGGGGAGTACCCTCTCTGTATTGAAAGCTATCTTCAGTATGTTTTTGAAGTAGGCAGGTTATTAATAAGTAAATGAAATGGAAATATTTTATTCTTACTCAATGACAATCAAGCCTTAAGACTCTTAGCTTATAAGCTTGTGTAATATATTTAACGAAACAGAATGATGGAGTGTAGAGAAGAAATGACTAATGTATAGTGTAAAATTTAAATAAAATTTACAGCCACTTCCCGAATATCTTTGTCTGGCATTTGAAATCATAGTATTAAACTCTTGGGGGACCGACAGTCTATGTAACATAAGGTCTTTTAAAAAAAGAAGTCACATGGATGAGAATTCAAATTTTAATTCCAACAATTGTAGCTGTGCCAGTCAGAGAAAATCATCTAGTATCTTTACAGTACTGTTTCTTCCTCTTCAAAGCTGGAGAATATTAGCTACTTCACTTCTAGAATATTAGGATTAAAATGGATTCATATGGGCAAAGTGTTTATGTATGGTGCCTGGCATATAGTAGGTGTTCTATAAATGATGCTAATAAGGGTTTTTGAACATCAAAAGAGACATACCCCTAGGTTATTAAGTATCTAGTTTTCCTGCACTTACAGGAATAGTCCTTTTGCTCCCTGGGCCAAGACCCTTATCACATTTCACTCACGATGTATGGTTCAATCTGTCCTGATGTTCAAGTTACTGGAGAAGACTGTGTTTGGATTGTAATCATCCAAGGCCCACTAGGCTATTCCTGTTAAGAGGCAGCAGGAATGGTGCTGCGACATCATGTTGTTTCAAGGCCTTGTTCAAGCACAAAACAGACTTTGAACTTTAAACATTTCAAGCAAGTGTCAATTTTTTGTTTTCTTTTAAGGCACACTGTGCATATGTCATTTTGTCTAAACAGGTGGGGAAAACACCAAAACAAACAACAGAATGCTTGGCAAGCAGCAGAGATGAGGATAAAGATAGACTGTGAAGCGTGTTCCTACCTCTGTCGATCAGGGTGGGAGGAAGGAAGGAAAATGGGGAGCGGATTTGACTCAGGCTGGCACAGGCTCTCATGGGGCACTGGAGGAAAGTGCTCAGCAAACCCATGAGGCTCACTCCCTGCCTGTAGGTACCAGGTGCTCTGCTCTTGCCAGGAGTCACAGTATCAAGACCAAGGGGAGGTGTTGGAAGCCATGGCTCATTTATGTTTCATGACTCATATTAATTCCAAATTAAAATGTAGAACATGATAGACATCTTAGAACCAATGAGACTACTATATGTCACACAGAATTACCTTTAACCTTTATGATATTCCTCTAAGACTGGAAAGTACTAATTGTTTTCTACTGACCCGATTCCTTAAAAAGATACTTAAACCACACACAGGCAATTTTGGTGGTACCAATATATTATGCATAGGCCAGATGGCATTTTAACAGATAAATAATTCCTTTAAAAATCTTCTACTTTCAGGAGGCAAAGGGTTCTGTTTGGGCAGTGTCCAGCAATGACTGACAAGTATTGGTGTTCTCCACATTGAGCATAATGGGCGCCTGAGCTTGGTGGAGACTAGCTGGGTGAATGAACAACAACATACACAAGTATGCGCCTTCAGTGCTGGGAAGGGACAGAGAAGCAAAGTGTCTTAGTGTATGAGGCTAAGAAAATATCTGAGAAAAAGTGTATTTTAGTTTATCTGTATCATCTTCCATTATTTTTAGGCCATTCAGGAACTCTAAAATTTTATTGTCCCTCTGAAAACAACCTGTGTTCCCTTGATTTTCCTTAAGGGTGGGGATTTTGCAAATTACCCATTCAGATGTCCCACTAACCTTGGGAGTCAGTTGTGTGCTCACATAGGACATGAAAAAAAAAATCTGTATTAGCCCCACCAAGTGGGCACGCAGGCAAATTTTAAGTTAGTGGCATTTGACTTGATTTTAAAAGGTTGTGCCAATAAGTGACAGTCTTATCTTTAATTCATTCTCCTATTGGGTGTGTTAAACAACCGAAGGGAGATATTCATTGCATAAAAGTAAGGAACAAATGGGAACAAAGGGAAAATAAGAAATCAGTTATCATCCAAGTTATGATCAAATTAATAATTGATCTCATCTCTTCAAACTCTATGCTTTATCTAAAACAATGCAAGTCAGGTACCATAACCAGAAGGTCACTTTTTCTGAAGAGTGTGTTGGGGGGGGTACTGGGAATTGAACCCAGGGGCTTTTATATGCTAGGCAAGTGCTCTACCACTAAGGTACATGCCCAGGCCCAGAGGGTCATTTTTTTTTATCCTGCTTGTCTGTAAGTTCCTTGAAGGTAAGGTCTGTGGCTTAATCTACCCTTTGACTAGGACAGTCTAGCACTTAGAGACCTTCTGGAGAGTATAACTATGGGTTCTCTGCCAGGATGTCTCTCTAATATACCAAGAATGCTTCATTACAGAAGTATAAGGAAAAGCTGTATATTTCTACATTCTCACTGTTAAGTAAGAAATAAGAGATCAAGAGATCTGTTTATCTGGGCTATCAGAGATAATCATACTAGCAATCTGCCAAGGAGGAAAATCAAATCTAATAGAAGGAGAATCAGGCTAGCATTCAACGTGGAGAGGAAGACTATACTCAACCCTGCTTTAGGAAAAGGCTCAGAGTAAAGTGCGACACTAACAACAGAAAGGACCCACGTAGGCACTGTTTGCTCAGAGGCCATTTTTCAGAGTTAATTGCCTTGGCTTTTTCTCACTTTCACTAGAAGAAATATTTTTTTTTGTTGTTTCAGGAATTGGTGAGATATTCTTCTGTATTCAGAAAATAGGATCCAACAAGGGCAGGATTCTACAAATTGTTACGAGTTGTGTGTGAATGTACATGTTGGCAGGATTCTGCACAGTGACGTTGCAGGGTGCCATATTTATTCTATTTTAACAATCACTATGTCCAAGGAGATAATGTTCATAAGAAAATGGCTTTTAAAACTCCTGACAGATCAACTCCTTTAAAATATCTTTCAGCACTTTCTGTTTCTTCCCTCCTCAGCATCACATCAATGGTTTGGTCTCTGCAGACTTGGCTGAGTTGGTAGCGGGAGGCTGAGGCCTACAGTGGAGTCCCAATTACCCCAGGCAAACCCAATCCACTCCATAGAACTGCCTTGGCACATGGGGTGGAAGAATATACATTTGAAATAGACTATTTAAACTGTGCCAATTAAAGTCAGTCTTCTGATCAGAAATGTGTTTTTAAAAGAGAATATACACTAATAAGGAAAAAAAAACCATTCAAATGTTTGCCATCTTTGTTACATTGTTTGATGTGAGCAATTTGATGGAACACTAAGAATCTTAAGGTGAAAGACAGAATTCTGAGGAGCATAAAAACATTTACATGTGCAGAGGGAAAGCATGCATCCCAGCACTATTACTTGAGTACTTTAAGTGACATTAATAATTATAATACCAGTAGTCTTATTTTCACAGGACAGCTTAAACCACCAAGAAATAAAGCACTAGCAAGGAAGCTATGTTAGTATTTCTGCGACCAGATCTCTATTAGAATATACCTTTAAAAAGAAATTTACTTACTCAAATTTAAAATGTGTATTTAAAAATAAAGTTGCATTTTAAAATCCTCCAAATAATTTGCCTATGACAATAGTTTGTGGCTGGGATTCCTTTAAATTCAGACAGTCAGGTATTTTCTTTATATTTTTAGAGAATGTGATTTTCTTTGTTTAAGAACCTCATTTGTTTAAAAATTGTTTTTGAGTGCTTTTTGGCCACCAACTCTTCCTGGGGTTTACTTGGCTCAGTTTTGTCCAGAAGCTAATTCTGATTCTTCTGTCAAATGCTCGGTGGCACTGCACTACCTGCTCTCCTGAAGGCCTGGCACAGCACAGGCGAGCAGCTGACCACTCCGGAGAGGCTGTTCTTAAAGGGGAAAAAAGGGTACAGGCTTTAATTGCCTGGGTTTCAGGGTTTCAGTTTAACCTAGGGAATCTTCCACTTACAGCAAAGGTAAAAGCTGTTATCAAGTAAGCCTGCACACTTTATTTCAGCTGGCTTCAGCCATCTAGGTTGGGAAATAATTTCTTTTAATTGAAGTGCTTTGTGTAAATAGGAGTTACTGGCTTCAGTAGGAGGAAGTGGCTTGAGTCCCTACAACCTCCTCTTGTGGATCATTGGGGCACTTGGAAAGTCCCTCACTGGCGAAAGGCCAGGCATAAAGGTTCTGTGTATGTATTAGTCAGGTTATGAGCATACCCATGTACTTCTCATATGTGGAAAGGAGAAGCTGTAGAAAAAAATGTGATTCATATTTCATGGGCTTCAGAAATGTAGTGTTTTCATAAAGATCACAATATTTGATTTTGGATTAGAGTGTTACAAGTTCTCAAACCTCCCTGCTGATTTAATATACTCAGGAGTTCCCATGTGTCTTCTAAGAATGCTCCGGCAACCTAGACTATATTATGTTATGAGACAGTAACATGTGCAATAATAAAATTTCATGGGTCAGTTTTGCAAATGTTTTGCCAGTTGCTGTTTAATCAAACATTTCTTATCATCTTTGATTTGCATGCAGCAAAAGCTTCTATGATCAAGATTTATTTTAATATCAATCCTCTTTTCTTATTCGATCAAATCCCCTTAACAAAAATAGCTTTGAAATCTGTAAATTCTCCCCGACCAGTCTCCATAACTCACTTCTCCCTAAACTATGGTCCCCCATTTTCCAGAAGAGCCACCAGCCAAGGGAGGCACACTTTCTTTCTTTGGACCCACCAACTTCATCCGCTGTCAATGTTCCTCTTCCTAAGACAGGGAGGGGATGGCTTTAGGGTGGAGGAGCTGAGTGGTGGCAAATGTGGTTAGGAACATGAAAGGCAGTTTATTCTCACGGTTCTGTCGCTGGCCCACCCTCCGGGCTCTTGGACTGGCCTACCTTGGCATGCAGACTCTGTGGTTTGTTGGAGAGGATGTCTGCGGCTTCCCTGCAGCGGGTGGAAAGGTTCAGGATAGCAGCAGCTGCTGCTATGTGGGTGTCTTCACTACATTGACCGTAGCTATAAGAGCTGGCACGGCTCGCGCTCTGTGTGTGGGCGCCTGCACTAGGCAGTCGATTAGGAAATTTGACTGGATTTGAAAAATGCTTTGCTGTTGAAGAGAGATTTGATTAGCAATTGCATGTACGTGGTTTTAGTCATTAAATAGATTTGTTTTTTAAAGATATAACTTCTTGCATTAAAATATGTGAAGAATAAATTAACGTATGAGCCATTATCCATTGGTATGTTAAATGAAGGTTATTCAGATGGGTTTTCATGGAGGTTCACAGATCAAATGATGTGATTGCTGGGAGAGAATGCCTATTCTCTTAATATTTTTTGTATTGACACTTCTTATGACAAAAACTCTATGACTAATGTTATGGGGCAGGTGCACTGGCAACATTTGTGGCAAAAAATGAAGCTCAAAACCCTATAAGCAAAACCTATCAGGGACTACAGAGAGCTTAAGGCATGTATATCTAAAAATTATGTATGTATAGGGCCCATAATTCCAGTACAGAAAAAAATACATCCTTTCAATATTTGTTTTCACAATGACAATTTATATTTAGATACGTAATTGTATTTTTATTTGTTGACACAAAGGTTTGTTCCATACTTGAACTAGTAGAAAGTGTTCTTCATCCAAATAGAAGAAACTAAATAGATGGTGGAGTCTTTAATGAGCTGGCGTTTTGCATATTCAGGGAGAGTGAGATAAGCAAAGGACAGGGAGGAAATGTTCTCAAGGTGAACAGAAAGGCAATTTGGTTATCAAGACTGAGTTTCTATTTTATTTTTCTGTTCTGAGTAGCAAGGCATTACTGAGAGATAGAATTACACATATTTCTCGTGACTGTGGGGTGTCTGTAAATATTACTCAAGGTAATGGGAAAAACACCCAAGATTTAATGAGAGCCGATACAAAAGTGTTCACCTGTTTATTTTTCATTAAGTATTTAATATTTTAAATATTTGATTGTTTTTCATAAGACAAAATTTAAAATATTACCAAATGTTACTCCTATAATTACAAGAATATAAAAATGTCTTTGAATGCTTTGCCATTTTAAAAATCAATATCCATATTGTGTGAGTGTATAGAATGCTCTTATTAAATGGCTGTATGTGCATTAAACATATGTGTTTGTGTAGATATTATGTGCACAAAAAATAAAATTATACAGATAGATATAAAACATTGTTTGTGTGTATAACATTTTTTCCCCTGAATCTAACAAGTTGTCATTGGTTATTTAAGTTTGCTGGGACCTATTTTTTGGTAAGAATAGACAAAATATCTTTTGGAATAAAGTGTACTTTTTATCAATGGGTAAAGTCCTTTCAAATCTGTTTATATACTGCTAGGTTTTATTATTTACGGTGCTGGCGTCAGACAAAGAATTTTGAACATGCTAGGCAAGGGTTTTACCTCCAAATTGCATCTCTAGCCTTACTGTTGGTTTTAAACTCAGTCTAGGTGCAAGATCTAATGGATTTCAGGGGTTTGTATTGCTGTAAAAAAAAAATCATGGTCTATGAAGGACTCCAAGCTTCTTCCTTAATGGAAGTTAAGCTACCTAATGCAGGAATCATTTTCTATATTTGTTCTCAATATTTATTTTCTCATCTTTTTATCAGAATATTTAGGTACTCCAAACAACCTGAAGAAATAGGTAAGTAAAAACATCAAGTTTTTGCCGGATATGGTGGCACACCTGTAATCTCAGTGGCTTGGGAGGCTGAGCTAGAAGGATTGAGAGTTCAAAGCCAGCCTCAGCAGTGGTGAGGCGCTAAACAACTCAGTGAGACCCTGTCTCTAAATAAAATACAAAATAGGGCTGGGGATGTGGCTCAGTGGTTGAGTGCCCCTGAGTTCAATCCCTGATACCCCAAAAGCAAACAAAAAAAAATCCCAAACCACCAAGTTTTATACATTATATCTCCCAATGAATCTGGCAGAAGTAGAGTATTAGTTTATTTAAAATATTTGTATATTAATTCTTAAATTTGTGAGTAACATGCTGTGAGAGGCACACACATTTTTTTTCCTGATAAAAATCTCGATTCCTGAATTGAATTTCTTCTTATATCTTTTACCTTTCCCAACCCCATCTTCAGCCTGAATGCTTTTGCTGACCTAAATAATATATTGAGTAGCATTTCAATATTTTATCTGATAATTTCCATCATTTCAACATGAATAAAAATAATGTATCACAATAGCCATTGCATTTTTAAATATAATTTTAATCCTAATCCTAAATGTGAATTAAATGTTTCTTTAAAATTACCGTATTTGGATGCAACAATGGCTGAGTAGTTGTAGAATAATTAACTCATTAACTATTCATCACATTTAGTGTAACTGCAGGATAAAAGCAGTAACACTGATCAATTATTTTATTTTACTGCACAATCTATTTTTTTTCCTGTCAGCTTTAAGTAGTACAGTATATACTTGAGCAGCCTCCCTCAACATCACACATTTACACAAGATGCATTTGAGGGGAATGAGTATTGGAATTTAAATTTGAAGCTTACATTCAGGAAATGGTGGAGTTTTTCGTCCTTGCCCTGTTTGTACAAGGGGACGTTTACCGAAGACTTGGGCATCAAAACTGGCATAATCAAATGGCACTTTTCCAAACTTCTCTTGTTCTTTCGATACTGTGGCTCTGGGAGAAGTGATGGCTTGTGATCGGAAATTGAACTCAATTTGCTTCACCAAGCTTGTCCTGAAGAGAGTGGGGAAGTAGTTCAAAATAAAATGAGATTATCACGAGCGTATGAGTGTCAGAATTTCCAAGATAGAAGTGTCACTGCGCGTAGGCACCCACAGAGACACTGCACAATGACAAGAAAGTGGTCACAACACAAGAAGGCAGAGTACTCTGGACACAGAGCAAGAGATGGAGGGATGTTCTGGACTCTGCCTGGTTATGATTTCTACTACATTTTTAATGTCCCAGTCTTCCACTGGCAAGATAAGAATATGCAGTCTCCATTTACCTCATGAAGATGTCATGAGTAACATGTTGTTGGCACTTTAAGTTCTGCAGAGAAAAGTGACATGTGACTACACAACTAAAGTATGTGTTAAGGCACTGGTGTATACATTTTGCTTATTAAAATTGTTAATTATTAGCAATGAATAGTTAAGATCATTCATTGCTAATAATTAACAATTTTAATTATTTGTTATGATCATGCCTGCTGCCTATGGGACAGTGTAGACACCAGAAGACTTGATTCCCAAATTTTGAGTTCCAAAAAAAATTGTGAGGCTTTAGTTTCAATGATGGGTTTTGGATTAGATAAAGGAAATTTTAGCTTCTACATACACATATTTGCAGGATTAGTGAATTTTATTATTATATCTGTAATTTGGTTTATAGTCCTAAAGTTGCATAAATGTTCTAACCTAAAATAACATCAATCCTTTATGAAATGAGCAAAGTGTACTTTTTGTTATTTCTTTATTTGATAAATAATCTACTTAGGGAGAAAGTAAAGCATACAGTAATACTAACCTAGAATCCCATTTTAAGATTTCTAATTGCTCCTTAAGCAGTAATTCTTGATTGTCACTTGACAAATGTTTTTATTCATGGGATTTGAATGCCAATTTTTACTCTTTTAATTAAATCTATAGAAACAAAATATTAAGGGAAGCTATGCCCTGAAAATACTGAAATGCATAAGAGCTGTTTTGACATTTTAGCACCTCATTAACAACAGTTATCTGATCATTTCTCTCAATCCTGAAATCGTTTTTCCTACATGTCTGATTTTTGTAGAATAGACATACACTGTCACATTAAACTTCAATGTACATACTTTATTATTTAGGTATAAGATCTTCCAAACTAATAGATACAAAGAATATGGGAGCTACAAGGACAAATGGAAGTTATTTTATTAATAGCTATCCATCATAGAATAAAATTTTGCTCTAAAAACTACATGTATATGGGGAGCTCAAGGATAAACATATAATATCACATATTTTGAGGGGATATTAGAAGTTTATGATGTATTTTCTCCAGGCAGAGAAGGTGAAGTCAATCACAAAGGGAAGCTTACCTGACGTGAGGGATGTATTACATTAATGAATCAGAATTTTGATCATTGTATGTTATTGAAGGCTTTATTCCTTTTAGACTTTACCCATATTGTGTTGCCTTAGCAAAGAGACCAATTTCAAGTTAAACTTCTGGAGGGTCTCTTAGCTCACTTAAGAGAGAAAGTATCATTCTCTAGACCAGCCTTTCCAATGAGCTGCCCACACAGGTCCACTGGTGGCTGAAAATGCAGGTCAGGCCACAATGAAGTGACACATAAGGGACATGAGGTCCTGCTGAGATGGATCCTGGAATGAACAGAATATCAGGAACTTCCTGGGAGCTCCTACCTGTGTGCCTGGTCAGAACACGGCCCAGTTTGGGAAGAATCAAGCTGATTTTTATCCTGGGACATTGCCAATTTTTCAGCTGCAGCAATTGGACAACCAGAAAGACTGTTTCAAAAAAGAAAAGCGGGAGGATGTGAGTTAAAATGATAGTATGATTTGCTTTGGCATGTGCCTCGCAGCATACTTGGCACACACTAAATGTTAAGTCATATTAATAGTTCACTTAGCACTATTCTCATATGAAAAGATCCCAAAGTGGTTTTCAAACTATATTGTCAATACTTGTCCCCCAACCTCATCTCAGTGGTGCAAGGTAACAAGCTCATTTTAAAAAATCAAAATATTACATAAGGGAAAAATAATTAAATTATTCTGAAACTTTTAATATTTTCAGCAGTCTGTGCTCATTCCAAATGCAATGGGTGTAACTATAGATATTAGCATGGTAACTCTATAATTTATCTTAGGATATTTAGCAAATTTGAGGGATTGAATCTTATAGTTTAAATTGAAGTTTTCTTGGCCATGTGCTTATAATTCAATAGTACCTCATAATCACAGTCCACACATAAAACGCACACACAAAACAATCAACATTTTCATATGCAAATATACACACACATAATGCATTTGTATATAAATGCACATAAATGTTCTATTTTAGTTGCAGTCTCAATGGAAGTATGTTACCTCATTGCCTGGTTAACAGTTAAACCACTGTATGTGGAAGCCCTTTTGATTCTTTTTTAATGCCTATGGTGGGATCCAAGATAACCTATAAGCAACTCTTTTCAGTACCAACACTATAATGATGGGCTTTCAGCGTAGAAGAGAATATATTCTATTTGTCTGACTAAATGAACATGTAACCCCAGCATCTTCAAATTTAACAGTTTTTCATTTTTGAAATTGGCTGCTAATATGAAAACTTCTATGAAAGGAAATTATGCGGTGATTTTTCTTTCTTTTTGACTCTGCAAAAGTTGAGACTATTATCTATTTCAAGCGGCAACATATTTGATAGTGATGCAGTGATTTTCATAACACATAGCCCATAATTTGATTGGTGGAAAGCTTCAATTTTTTAAAATGTAAAATCATTAGCAAATCATCAGAATTACCTCCTGTGAGTGTTGCGATTACTGTTCACATGACCCCTTCCTGTGCATCCAGGGGTGGGACACTTGAGCACATTTTCATGCATGGCAAGAACTAATCACAAAATAGCACATTAAAGAGAAGAATAATTTTACCATAAACATACAAAAAATCAACATGTTCATTTCTTAATTTTGCAATTAAATGACTTGTTACATAATCCACTATGCTCCCTCCCCAGATATATTTAGTTGAAAAAAAAAATAAGAACACCAGAACTTCAAAAATTAAATCTAGCAAGATTTATCATGTTAACTGCTTTGAACTCCAAGTTATATTTAACCATAGACTTAAA